ACGGAAATGAGCGACGATGAATTATTTAACGTGCAACAAATGAGGCAAAAGCACCTGTGGTGTCCTGACACCGAAGTCCTGGCTCAGGACTCATAAAAAAAAGAAGAAGAAACCGAGTCAGAATGAAAAGTTGGAGACGAGAAGAAGGAGAGGATTTTAGGATTTTTTTTTTTAAATATGGAACAAATGAAACCAAAGACTCACCACATAGGCGTACCACAAGGCACAGATGTTAAAGGGCACGGCGGGGCAGAAACAGGAAAGCACTGCCAGCCAGAGGTACGTCGAGGGTAAGGATCCGGGCGGCACCGGGGAGGGAAGCGGACCCAGGCTGAGCCGGGACACGGATTTGGGTGGGGCCGCCAGCTGCCCCACCGAGCCCGACTTGAGGGGCGATCTGTGTCCGTTCTGGTCCGCGTCCAGGGAGCGGACGCTGCCCCTGATGTTCAGGGAGAAGGAGTCGGAGGGCTTGATGTTGGTCTGACCGCTGGGCTCAGTGGGCGCGGTGCTCAGCAGCTTCTCCGTGTCCTGGAAGTCGGTGGGGTTCGAAACTTCCCTCTCACCGAGGGCGCTTTTCCCATAGGCGACGTCGGTGTTGATGGCCATCCCAGAGAGACGCGAACGAGCTCGGCGCGTGTGTGTTCGTGATCTGAAAGTGTGTCCAAGTCAAAGTGTGACCGACAAGAGCCGCTTCCCTGTGGGTGGAGGACGCAGGAGAGTCTTCTGTCAGAGCAGCCTCTCCATGGGGGGTCATCAGATTCAAGATGATCAATTTCAGGGAGGCAAATACCTTCAAGTCAACTTATTTAATTAAGCAGTCCAACTCCATCAAAATGTCTTATTGATGAGCCAGATGTTATCGATGTCTCAGTCCCTCTCGCGCTTTGTTGGCGGTGAGAGTCCGGACGCTCTCTTCGCCTTTACCCCCTCCTTCACCCTCACCCTCTTCCTCACCCTTTCCCCTCCCTTCCCCCTCTCTCTCTCTGTCTCTCTCTCTCTCTCCCTTAAGCACTGAGGTAATACCGCATCACTTTCATCTCTGCCACATCCCTGGTGTCTGAGGCCTTCTGGTGATGCACCAGGCGAAGCTTGTGACGCGGCAAAAACAAAACAAATCTCTCCACTTTATCCCTCTCCTCCCTGCGTAAAAAGCTCTCTTTACGCGCGGTGTTCAGCGGCGGCCGCGGAGGGAGCGTTGTCTCTCCAGTTGTTTATTTGGAGTAAGACGTTTCACTGTAAAAGAGTGGGTGTGGGCAGAGTGGAGATGGAAGGAAAAAACGAGATGCGCAGCTTCCATTATGACTGGTGTTAAAGTCAGGAGCCTAAGGTGGTGGGGTCAGGGTGGGGTCACGCCACGGGTCTTGAAGTAGAAAACAGTACAGGCAGAATATGAAGAAGAGAGAGAGATCTGCCATGACGTTAGGGTGGATGACGGTGGCTGCGTCCGAATGAATGGACGTTATATTTGGGAGTTTGCGTTCATATTTCTACCGACCAAACCAAGCAGTTTCTTAGATACGCCTCTCACCAACGGAGAGAAACGACAGGACACAGGTGGAAATGTGACAGAAAGAAAAATTCAAATTTATTCCTCTTCATAGACGCAGAGGTGAAGACACGAGAGGGTGAGAAGAGAAGAGTTACAGTACAGTATGCAGTATAATTTACTTCAAATGGAGCAGTAATAAATTAAACATTGTCGTTCTCCCCACAGTGAAAGTTTCCTCAGAAAATGCTCCACCAATCACCAGTCTTCTGACTCCTGGAGATGAGCTCACTGCACATGACGGCTGTACACCGAGGCGGACTTCAGAGAGCGGCGCGTTCCCTTCTTGGGTGAGGATGGGGAGGAAGGAGGAGACAGAGAAGATGAAGAGGGGGAGGCGGAGGTCGGGGAGGAGTCCTGAGAGCGGGCCCTGGTGGGGCTGCTGCTGGGGGAGCCGCGGGGCGAGGAGTAGGGCGACAGGGCCTGCAGCATCCGACCGCTGCGCTCCTGAATGACATGCTGCAGGAAAACACGGAAACGAAGGTGTTAATTGAGGAAAATGAAATGATAATAATATTTTTTTACTCACATAATTATTTCCTGTAATTGCTATTTACTGGATCTGGTTATTGTTTTTAAAAACACCTAACTGATCCCTGGAAACCAATTAGTTCTGGACCAAACAGAGCTCATTAAGTCCAAGCAGAACGGCTCTACTGTATGAGCTAAAATCAGTAGATTGGTGCCACATGGTGGTCACAACAAGTACTGCAAAGGTGAATTCGGTACTTTGGTCACAGAACTCTTTTGTTCTTCTTTAAAAAACAGTCACAATTTGTGTTTTTCGAGCTAAAAGTTTAACAAACTGAACTTTTCATATTTTAGTTTTTTTTTCTGTCCAAGAATAAATCATGGTCGATATTCTGACGTATAAAACCATTGACAATTGTTTCTCAAAAAAGCCTCTATATCAGTCGGAGTGAGACTTTTCTAACGGTGCATTTTTCTGCTGATTACTGTGGTTCCAGTGGACCATCGTGGACTCACCCAGGCTCCGTCGGGTCCAAAGAGCTCCAGGAAGTTGCTGATGAATTCCCGTGACTTCTCCTCCCACTTGTTGATGAGATCCTGGCTCTTCTCCTCCACTCTGTAGACAAAATGCTTGGACTTTTCCTCCACCGTACGCACCGTCTCCTTCATCTTGTCCACTTGGTTCTGCAGTCTGTACTTTTTCTCCTGTCAGGAAATGGACATGGAGTGATATTGGAACACCCCCCCGCCCCTCCCCCCAGCTCCCTAACTGTGTTAAAGAAATAATTTTAATTTAATGATTATTTGATCATTTCTAACGTTTATGAATCCGACATTCAGCTCTCGGGCCGTGTAGCCTCTCTGCAGGTTGCGGCGGACGTAGATGTCGTAGTCTCGGACGATGCGAGTGATGAGGTCAGATGTGGAGATGCCCTCTGTCCTCTGAGTGGCCACAAACATGCCTTTGGTGAGCGGACAGACACCGGTGATGTTAGTGAACAGTGACGTGTGACCGCAGACCGCGTGACCAGTGACACGTCTCCTCACCCGCTTCCTTGATGTGCTTGTAAACGTCCTCTGATCCCGCGGAGGTGTACGGGATGTCGTCGTGGGCCACGAAGTCGATCTGTGTGGGCAACACCAGGAGTGTCAGACCTACAATGTCGCCTACATTTCATTAGGGACACCTGCTCAGTCGTTGAATTTTAAGATTCTCGACCTGCAGCCGACTTTACAGCAACTCTACAGCGTCATCGTTAAATCTATGACATGAAAAATCAGCACCAATTAAATGGCCAGTTGTTGCATACAGTCAGCCACTAGAGGTCGCACCTGCATCATTGAAAAGTAAAACCAGAGCGCAAATACTCAGCAGGTGGAGTCGCTCTCTAATCGGAAGACATGTGACTTGATACGTGTGTTATTTGTAATATTGCTTCATCGATACGTCATAAATTAGGTCATGCACATATAGCTATTTATTAGTAATAATTTTAAATGTTAGTATTTTTATTATCATAATTTCTTCCATTATTCATTTGTCCGTGTCAGTGACGTCAGTGTACATTTTCTGTCTGATCCGCGTTATAATAAAGTACACGTGACGTCAGGATGTTTTCACCTTGCTGCACCACAAACGACAAAGCTGTGTGTGTGTGTCGTGACATTTGACCTTGTGTTTCTTCAGGAACTCCGTGGTTAGGGTCCAGGGAGCGTCTCGCACCACTTCGTCCACATAGCGACAGTGTCTCAGGGCTTCGTACCGTTCGTCCTCCGTCATCACCGTGTAGCCTTTGAACTGGTGGGTGAGTTCATCACTGCACACTGCAAACACAAGGAACCAAAATCCAGTCTTTTTTTTTCAATTCCTGTGATCAGTACATCATTGTCTTGTTCAAATAAACAGGCCCAGGTCTCACAGGAAGTTAGTAAATTGAAACTGAAAATTCCATTGTATTTCATTGCTATAATATTGATTATTATTACACATAGTGTCTGTGTTGTGACTTGAAGCTGTGTTGTGTATGACGTCTGCCATTTGTCATCACTGGGATTCATTCTTTACCTCCTACGATCAGATAAGTGTTGGGGAACAGATTTTTGGCCTGCATCAGAGCACGAGCGTGTCCCGAATGGAAAAGATCAAATATCCCGTCAGCGTAGACTCGCGCCGGACGATTGGCTGCAGAGCAGGAAACACAGAGTGACAAAAATACTCTGCTTTGTGTTGAAACTTTAGGGGCTAAAAAATGTTGAACATGAAGTATAACCTGGTGTTCCCCTGCGAGCTTGTGCAATAGTTAGTTTTTCGTGGGCGGTCTCTGGTTCATAACCTTGGGAACTGGCAAACGCTGCTGGCTCCCTCAGAGCCTGCTGGGGCGAGATTGGGGAGTCAGAAAAACACTTTACTAAAATGCTTTAAGGGATTAACGCACAGCTCAGGTTACAGTATTAGACAAGACATCATTCAAACACCAGGTGTAATATTATAGAAAAGTGCCTGGTTAAATACTTTAGGGTAAAGTACTGCAAAGTGACATTTATTCCCGGGCCATGTCTTCAAACCGATAAGAGTGACATTTTAAAGATAAGATAAGTTCAACTGCAGGAGTGTTCTGAAAGGCCTGGGATAAACACAGCTTTATCTGCAGTGTAGGACAGTATCATATACTGTACTCTGAACTTTGACCTTTCTGCACTGTTCATCAGAAATACTTAAAAAAATATAAAAAATTTACTTTTAATTACACCTACTGCTTTGCTCTTGTTGAAATCCTGTGGACTGGATCTCTGAACTATCAGCAGAATTATTATTATTGTTTTTGTTTTGTTGATGTAGTTTGATTATCATTATACTATTCATAATTCAAACTCTATCAACTCTTTTACACTTTAAAGTTTAAATGTCACTTCACAATTCTACCTCAAAGGTAAAATTCTTCTTCTTCTTCTGATGTCCCAGATATTTCTATTCTGGTTTTTTTGTTTGTTTTATTACAGATTTGCCAAGAGTGCGAACTCAAAGTCACCCATGCCTTTCTCACCAAAACCCCAATCAATCAAACAAGCAATCATTGGTTTCTGTTATCAGTTGATCAGATACCCGTTTTAAATCCCTCAGCTTTATGGTCCAAACGATCGAGTCGTTGCTTCACTCAGCTCATCACTAATCTCTTCACTGCGTCATATACACAACCTTTGGGGTGATATTTAAAGCATCACCAAACCATAAACAGGGATTTAATAAAAAACATTTTTTACCTCATTTTAACTTGAAATTTGGTCTCTTTTTTTTCATCAGAGACTAATTAAATACCAGACAGTAATGTGCAGAGATGTCAAGAAACTGGACAAGAACAAGAAGGTAAACAAAGAGGAAGGACAATTAAAAAAAAAAAAAAAATCCAAATCTGAGGCCCAAGTCTAACTGACAGACATTTAAACCTCATTTGTTCCTCTAGTTTCCATTCCCATGACGTGCCGCTCCGTACTAGACTCTAACCTCCTGCGTGTTTGTCTGGGGACGTGTGAGAATAAACAGACTGGACAGGTTTCATGTGGACACAGCAGGACTCACCCTACGAAGGCCAGGCTTCTGCTTCTGTGCAGCCTGCTGCTGCTGCTGCCCGTGCCCGTGGTTTCCTCTGCCTCGTCTCTTCCCCGCCATCCTTGGATCTTCAACAGGTGACTGCTAAGTCCTCTCAGCTGTTTCTAAAAGAAAAAAACCCAGCAGTTTCTGAACCTGTGTGTGTGTGTGTAAAACAGCCGGCCTTCCTGCCCGTGTGCCTGTCCCTGATGACGAGAAACGTGGTGGTCAAAGTTCACTGCAGTCTACTGACGTTCTCTTTCTTCATCAGGCAACTCCATAATCCTCCCTCTGTCTGAAGGCTGTTTTTTTCTTCTTCTTAGTCTTACTCACAGGGTTCAATGATCTCAGAACAAATCAAACACAGTGTACTTTTAAAAGACAAATTAATATAAATCATATCAGTTTTCTTAATCAAATGAATGTTATATAATAATCGCTGTAATTCTAAAATGCCTGTAAGACTGACCCCCGCATCTTTTCATGACCTCATTATAAAAATCAAACATGACGCAGACACAGAGTATCAGTGTAGAGTTCAGGTTGTATCAGGTTTGGGCTCACAGGCCCAAACGAGGCAGTTCACTATTGGTTGGATGTAAAATGCGTGGCAGAATAATTTAAATTGTTGAAATGTTTCTACCGTTTCTACCTGGTAGCAGTGTTTCGCTGGCTGTAGTTGAAGTGTACGAGTTCCTCACACCGTTGTTTTTTTGTGTGTGTGTCGTGGAGGGAAGAGCCTCAAAGTGTGTTTACATGGCTGCGATACGATTACAGCGCACGATTTCACGTTTTAAACTAAGCCGCTGAATTCAACCGCGGTCCCTGTAGTACATATGCCAAGTCAATGTGTGGCACTGTGCCAGTCGCGCGCTAACATGCCAACAGCGGAAGAGTTCGTAGCGGAAGTCAAGTAAAACCGGCTAACTGTAGCACACAAATAGCCGAATTAGCTTCTTCCCAAATTTGTAGAAAAATAACAGTCAAGCAGAGCAAAACTCACATCCTCCGTGTTAGTAAATTATTGAGCCCATTGTTATTTGACAGGTGGGTGACTTTAGCCTTCTGTTCATTTATTAATTTAATGTTGTCCTCTGCCTCGTCTCTTCCCCGCCATCCTTGGATCTTCAACAGGTGACTGCTAAGTCCTCTCAGCTGTTTCTAAAAGAAAAAAAACCCAGCAGTTTCTGAACCTGTGTGTGTGTGTAAAACAGCTGGCCTTCCT